ACCTCTGCTGCAACATAAATTTTTAAAAACAATTCCTAAACCCCAAACATTAAATCCATTTATTCAAAACAACCCCTCCTTTGATTTATTTTAACGAAATTAGTCCTGCTTTGGTTAATTATATTACCAAACAGCCCTTATAGTTTAGTGAAGTTATAAATCTACCCCTATAGTGCAAACTCGTTACAAAATAGCCCCGAAAGTATTTCAAAGTTCAAGAATTGTGGTTTTACGATTTCTCACGACAAGCTTCACAAAAATGAAACGACTTCGAACAAATGGAACTCACGCTTCAAGAGTGAGTGCTTACGGCCCCATTTAATAATTTTAATTATCTCGGGGGGGGGGGGGGGGGGGGGGATACATGTGCCTATATACTTTGTTTATACAAACAAATTCTTCTTTTATGCAAAAATACAATAAGTTTAGTTTATAACAATGTTATTTAACAATGTAACATATTATTACAAATAAACTATTATAAACTTTTAATATACATATTATAGCTATTTTATCGTGAAATAACTACTCCGCAAAACAAACTCTACATGACAAAAAAATATATGATTTATGTGACATTGTACGTCATAAAAACTATAGTAGTATTTCAAGGATACCAGCTATTACTATGCATGTATACTTATATGTATAAATACATAAAGCTTATACACATACATATGTAACATGTTCATTATTTCGGAACATACATCTTTATAAAAGCGAGTACATTACACTTTTACATACGTCCCAAGCATACTCGGATGTTATAAACTTTATACAATGAAATTCATTATGCCTAGTGACTTATCCACAATTAAGTTAGGGCTGAGAGTTATTCACATACTTTAGTTAAGGGCTTTTTAGTGAGACTATATTCATTAGCTGAGTCTAAACACTTAGCATACCCACACTACTATAAACGTTAATCTTTGGATCGAGATACATATGTATGTATCTATACAAGGTTGACATCCCCACCTGCGGTTGCTAGTTACAACTTCGACCGATCAATTGAAGCGGGTGATAAGTTTTTGTTATTGTTACTATAGCGTCCAATGAAGCGTTGTAGGGGGTACATTCAGTCAATAGCTCGGTTATAGGACTCACTATAAACATTAACTAGAATATCTCTCTATCTCTCTCTCTCTCTCTCTCTCTCTCTCTCTCGCTACAAACCATGGGATTGGTTGCTTTCAACACTATTTCAGTATGGATTTCTTATGCAACAGTACAGTTTGGTTTTCAAGTATATTCAAGGATTCTTTACAAACCCAGCTTTAAGTATGAATTTACTTATACTAAGATACATTTTGGCTTTCAAAGATTCTTTACAAACACAGTTTTAAGTATGGATTTACTTAAACAAAGATAATTTTTTGATTTCAAAGACTCTTTACAAACACAGTTTTAAGTATTGTTATACTTACAAAGAAAATATTTTTTAGACTTTTTAAAAGTATTATTTTTGTTAGCAGAAAACTTGTAACTCTCACCAACCTTGTGTTGACCCTCAAAACTACATGTATTCTCAGAAAATCACTAAACATACATTCAAGACGGATTGGATTACAGGTGACCTAGTTTACTAGTTGTTGTAATATCTGTCTATCTGTTAAGGCAACTCATGTACTATTATTATCTATAAAAACCTTGTACTCAAATATCAAGATGAAATACGAATGTTATTTTGTTTATTGTTGTACTTGTGCTATATATTTAGTTTACATGTGATCTATGAACTTAGTCGCACAGTTCGACGTGTCTCGCCGCCTCGGCCACACGTGTGACATAAAGGCACTACACTGCCCTTTCAAAATTAGTGAAATTAAGACTAATGGTTGTTTCGAATTATTGCATTGTGATGTTTGGGGAAAGTATCGTTTTCCTTTAATTTCGGGAGCAAGCTACTTTTTAACCATTTTAAATGATTTTAGTAGGGGCGTATGTGTTTTCTTCCTTAAACATAAAAAATGAAGCAGGTAAATCTGCAAATGTATCATTAATTTTTATAATTTGAAAAAAAAAACAAATTTGGAAAATTGGTTAAGAAAATTAGAAGTGACAACGGAGCCAAATTCACTTATCACGAGATGATTAACTTTTATAATAAATAAGGAATTTTATTAGAGATTACATGTCCTCACACCCCGCGAAAAACGGGGTTGTTTAACGAAAGCACATGCACCTCCTTGAAACTGCTCGTGCTCTTAGATTTGAAGCTAATCTTCCAAAAAGATTTCAAGGTGAATGTATTTTAACAGTTTTTTATATTATTAATAGATTTCCTTCTAAAGATATAGGAAATAAAACCCCATATGAAATTATTTTTCAACAAAAACCAGAATATGAACACATGAAATTTTTGGGTGTTTGTTTATTTTAGAAGCAATGAAACTAGAGAGGACAAGTTTGAAGCAAGGGGGAGATCTGGCATGTTTTTGGGTTACCCATAAGGGACTAAAGGTTATAAATTTTTTGATATTGAGAACAAAAGGGTAATTGTTTCACGAGATGTGAGGTTCCACGAGAACCGGTTTCCTTTCCTCAAGAAAAACGATGAATGTACAAATGATGACCCATTGGAAGTTCTTGATGGGACGGTTCACTTCGACACCAAACATGATGTATGGGATAATAACAAAAAATGATCCAACTTTGTTCAAGAGCTAATTGAATCAAATGTCTCAATCCAAAACCTCGATGAAGGGAGCTCACCCATAGTAACCAATGGGATTACTATCAATACAAGAATAATCAATGATGGCCGACAAATTCACCAAGAATCGCATAACACCACACCACCACTGAACCTACTGCACCAAATCTTTAGAAAAAAAAAAAGTCAACCGAAACACTTTTCCGGTTATCACGTCTAACTCCCCACCTTGGTTAACCATGCACAAGCTTCACCAAGTCAAGCGTCCTCTACGGTACATCACTTATCTAATTTGTTTCATGCCAAAAATATCTGATACTAACCAGGCTTACCTTGTGGCCATTAATTCTAACAATGAGCCAAAATATTTCTATCAATCTATTAAAAATGACTAGTGGAAAGAAGTTGTGAAAAAAGGAATTCAAGCCTTAGAAAAGAAAGGGGCATGGACTTTAGAAGCTCTTCCTAAAGGAAAAAAATGCTATTGAGTCAAAATGGGATTACAAAGTAAAGTATAGACCCAATGACGAAGTAGAAAGATATAAAGCCAATTTTGTTGCAAAACGGTTCACTCAAATGGAGGGTGTCGACTATCACGCCATGTTCGCACCAATGGAAAAACTTGTCACTGTCAGAACTCTCCTATCTGTGGCGGTCAAAAGAGATTGGGCAATCCATCAACTCGATGTTAACAATGTCTTCTTATATGGCGACTTAAATGAATAAATTTACATGAAAATTCCCCAGGGGTTTTGAAATGAAATAGAAACTATAGTTTATTGTCTACGTAAGTCGTTATATGGTTTAAAAGAAGCTTCATGCAATTGATACCAAAAGTTTACCAATGCTCTAATCAGTCTATGTTTTAAAAAGTCACGACCAGACTATTCTTTTTTTATTCACAAGAAAGGAAACAACTTTGTTGTTTCTTTCATTTATGTCGATGATGTAATTATGGTTGGAAACGATACCAGGAAAATACAAGAAACAAGGATAATCTGAACAACAAATTTAGCATCAAAGATGTACTAAACCTCAAATACTTCCTCGACATAGAGCTAACTCGAACCTCAGGGCTGGTACTAAATCAACGAAAGCACATACTTGACATCCTTGAGGATTATGGGTTACAAGGATGAAAACCGAGTCTGTTCCCTATCGAATAGTACCTAAAACTGGATAGAACTGAAAAGGAACCAAAAGTTGATGCTAGTCGTTATCATCGCATAGTTGGACAATTACGTTACGTACAGGCTACACGACCAGATATCACATACTCGGTGAATGTGTTGAGCCAATTTGTTGTTGATCCAAGACAATCCCACTTTAACGTTGCACATAAGGTCCTTCATTACTTGAAAGGAGCAACCGGACAAGGTATTCTTTTTCCATGAGAGGGAGTATGCATTCTCATGACATATTGTGACTCTGGCTCGGCTATCCCTACATCAAGGTCTCAGACCGGATACACCTACTTTTACTTGGAGGTGCACCCATTTTCTGGAAAACAAAGAAACAATCGGTTGTCTCACGTTCATCTGCTGAAGCAAAATATAAATATAGATCCATGACGTCCACTGACAGTGAAATTATTTGGGTGAGATGGTTTCTAACAGAGTTGGACGTTCACTCAGCTAAACCAACTCCCTTGTTTTGTGATAATCAAGCTGCTCTACACATTGCTAAAGATGGACTTACAATTAACAAATATTGAATTTTATGCCATGCAGTTGTCTTGACAGCTATTATGGAGATGAAGGTATCCAGCTAATCTCCTATCTTTATTTACTTCTTCCACTTCATTCTTATTTTCTAGTGTTGTTTATTGCTCTAGTTTTTTTCGATAATAGATGCATATAAATCGTATAAAAGCGATGCAAAATTATCTAATTTGCAGAAAAATAAAAATATAGGGTATTAATATTTACAGGTGACTTAAAAGTTAAAATAGGTTTTGTTAATTGGTTTAAGAAATAGTAGCCTTAATTGCAAATTATAGCATTATCCACACGTTCCACATTTCAATCCATATTTGAACCTAGCTCTATATATATATATATATATATATATATATTATATATATATATATATATATATATATATATATATATATATATATTAACTCCCAAATAATATATATTTTTTATTGTGTTAGTTTGTTGATAAATGATTGAAAGTAGATAGTCGTTGCTTGTGTGTATGAATGATAGAGAAACTAATTTTTTAGGGAAATAGTACACCGTTGATAATTTAAACAATGAATTCAAGTTGAACCGAAAAAAAATGGAAACAGAAATACAATGCTGATGCAACATCTCCCCCGCACCACCTCGAATCACCCACATCAGTTAGGATGGTAATACGGGTAAATAGTGTAAAATGTCTGTAGAACCGCAAGGGAAAGCAACAAGAAGGCTGCAAACACCGAAATTGAGGCCCATCGGCTGGGAAAATAAGTACTCTTAATCCCGTCCACACTCACATTCCACCCATTCCAATAATTGTTTAATTCGATGAACAGGTGTCTTAAGTAATTGTTTGTGATATCAAAAGCTACATCTTTCCCAACACTTTTGAAGAATTCCGCTATCTCTTTATCCTTACCAAAATAATTCTCAATAATTTTGCCTTCCGCAAGTAAACCCACGTCAGTCGAGGTGTGCATTAGACATCCCATGAACACAACGTAAGTTGTAATATGTTTCCTGCAGTGAAAATAACACTGCTCGAAAGCAACACAGTTCAAAAAGAACGAACTGTAAAAATCGTCCATGTTTATTTGAGGAATCAAAAGAACCCCATTTCGGAATTCAATGTCCAAGAAGCTATCGGGTTCATGACTTGCCTTAAACTTAACCCCAGCGATCTTGAGTTTGTTCGCTGGGGGGATAAGTTTAACGGAAGAGCTATAATTGATCCTGAGTTTGGTGGGGAGGTGGATAAGTTTTTGGAAAGAATTTTTGGATATGTCAAAGGTGGGAACTGGGTTTTGTTCTTTAGGGTTTATGAAACTTTTTCGGAAAAAATCTAGTAAATGTTTCCCTTCGGTATTCTTGTGTTGATTTAGTATCTCTTTTTTCCTATCAACTGTGTAATTGAAAAACTCAAGGATTAAATATGAAAGTGTGGGATCATCGGGTTTAGACACTTCAGGTTTAGATACATCAAACAACTTCTGGAGAACAAAAAATGGGATTTGGTTCTCAATTCTCAAAAGATCTCTCATCAAAAATGGAGACACCCAAGCCACACGGAAAATTGGATCATATATATCAGTCTGAACCAACTTTCCAACTTTTCTGAACAATTCAATCAAGAAACACCCATCAAGCACCATCATTTTAGCAAGATCATTGGTGGAAAATTGATCAATAGATTCTGAGTAGCTTTGTCGAATTTGATCCTGCATTGACACTATGATTTTCATGAAAAATCCAATTGACTTACCTGTTCTTTGGATCAAATCATTCAGGTACCTCCATTTATGTTCTTCGATTATCTCAAGATGCTTGTTTCCATGGTGGTATGGGCCGATTGAGACAATTCGAGGTTGATATGCTTCCCTGTTGATCTCGAAAAGACTCTGGGGGACTCTGAATATGCAACAAGAGTCCATTCCAGCTGATTTGTGTAGTAATTTTGGTGGTTTTTTCATTTGGGTGTTCATGAACTTCACCTCTTGGTCTATTGTAATAACATGATTTTGATTCATTTTTTTTTTTTTGTGTTGAACGGTGTTTACAAGTGAACGATAGGAGGTGATTAAAGGGTGAATATATGAAGAAATTGAATCGATAAAGGTCAAAATTTTAAGGTTTTCGTTGTTGATTCTATGAAGTTTCCTTCTGAGTTCGGATCAAACAAGTGGAAGAAGAAATCAATGAAAGAAGACGAAGACTTTATGGCGTCAGGTCTCAAATCGTTAAAACTATTTCAAACTGGCAATTTCATCCACATAAATTCCAAGATGGAATGGTCATTGATATTTTTCTGAGTTTATTTATAAATTAAAATTTTAAAAAAAAATGCTAAAATTGATGTAATTGTCTGTTCATCATGAAAAATCATTAATATTATCACTTTTGTGTGTTCGTTATTTTTAAGTATGGTCATTAGAGCATAATAAATTTTCTTTTTTTAATATATTATTACAAAATACTTCAAAAAACAGGAAAATACCAAAATAGCCATCATCTGCAAAAATACGTTGGGCATGCAAAAAAAAAAATTAAAATGTTGTTTCGATACAGGTATCGTTGACTGAAATTTGCAGTGGGCTGCCAAAATTTATGAGGAACTGCAATTTTTTAAAAATTTTATGTAATTTTTTGTTATGTTGATTACAAAAATCGAAATCCGTACAAAATATTATGTTATAAGAGTTTGTTTTGTAAATATTTATATCCAATTGGCTGATTTATTTTAGCAAAGTTTTCCCTATGTTATTTTTATTTTTTCTGATTTCAATATCAATTTTTTCATCTTACAATTTATGCTCTTGTTAAGATAACATTTCACATGATTATTTTATTATCGTTTGTGTGGATGGTTCATGACAATTAAAAAATAAGGAGTTGATAACATTAAAAGACCCAAACTATCATATAAAAGTTTAATATATTTTAATATAAATAAACTGTTTAAAATCAAATTTAACTGGGAAAAGGGCTCTTCGCATGGGTCGGAAGTTTTTATTTTTATTTTTTATGGTGTATTTAATTATGAACGAAGTCGTATAGAAGAGTTGGTACTTGCTTATATTATATTGAGAATTTCTAGGTTGTAGTTGTTCCGATGTCTATATATCCTAACCTCTCAGAGTGATGATTCACTACAAGAAATGCAGCCATTACCGGCGACACTAATAGCGGCGACAACACCTTTAGCGGCGACTTTTCGAAAAGTCGCCGCTAAAGGTGTTGTCGCCGCTATTAGTGTCGCCGGTAATGGCTGCCTACCCGAATCCGCGTTTTCACGTTCCGGTGAACACCAACCGTTTGATCATTTTTCTAATCTAATGGCTGAGAAACTCGTGGAACGTACAAAACCAATACCGGCGACAATATGTCGCCGCTAAAGATCTAAATTGTCGCCGCTAAAGGTCGAAAAAAATGCGCCTTTTTTTCCCTCTTTGTATACGGGTTGGATGTCGCCGGTATTGATTCTTTTGTCGCCGCTATTGGGTGTCGCCGCTAAAGGTCGACGCAGATTACTCCCACTTGCTTCCTCTTTCTGCTTCAATCTACTCTCATTTTGTTCCAACATTTTCTCCGACGATTCTCCATTCCTCCAACGATTCTCCCTCATTTAACAACATATAGTAGAAGAGATACCGCCGGCCACCGAAAACTTCCCCTCTCCGGCCACCGGCACTGTTGCTGTTGTCGATTTCCTTTTCCCGGGTTCGTGTTTCCTTCCTCATCTCTTCCTTTGTTTCTACTTTAATGTCGATCTCCATAAGAGTTTGTGATTAATTGCATTTTTGTTTTCAAAAATCTCTTTTCCTCTCTGGTCACCATCTCTACCGTCGGCAGTTGCTGTCACCTGCATCAACTACCACCACCATTATTGCAGCACCGAAGACTCCAGTTGAAAGAGAGAAAAGTTTTGGGAACCACATGTGCATTTTTTTGTAATTTGTTTTATATGTGTGAATTTGTGTGTGTATTTTGTATATATGTGTGTGAAATATGTTATATGTGTATGTATTTCATATATATGTGTGTGAAAATTGTGTGTATTTCATATATGTGTGTGTATTTCAAATATGTTATACGTATATGTGTATAATGTATATATGTATGTATGTATTTGTATGCAGTTTGGATTGTGTTCATAGTTGTTTTATGTGTATAAAAAGTATGTATATTTGTGTATAATGTATGTATGTGTGTATTTATGTGCAATTTGGAGTGTGTTGATGGTTGTTTTATGTGTATAAAAAGTATATATTTGTGTATAATGTATGTAAGTGTGTATTTATGTGCAATTTGGAGTGTGTTGATGGTTGTTTTATGTGTATAAAAAGTATATATTTGTGTATAATGTATGTATGTGTGTATTTGAATGCAATTTGAAGTGTATTGTATACAATGTGTAAAGTACAATGTCATAATGTAAAAAAGAAACAAAAAACAAGTAGGACGCTAATATTGAAAATGTTATTTAAAGTAAATTACTATAATAGTTCCTATGTAATGTGTATTTGTAGATAAATTGGTAATTATTAGTTTGTTGGTTTGTTAGTTTGATTGTTGGTTTAACTTAAAAGGTTAATGTTAGTTAGGTGGTTTGTTAATTTGATAATTTTAAGTTTGGTTTAAGTTAATAGGTGGCGGGAACAATGATCCGGAGTCTACTGTGGAACTTATAGGAGGGAACAACGGTGACGGGGATGATGACATGTCGTATTAGATTTATCTTTTATTAGAGATTGTAGTATGATATAAATTTATAAGAATTTTGTTATTTATTTTGGTGTATGTATGGTATTATAAAACTTGGATGTTATGTAATCGTTTTTCTGCATTTAACGTATCGGTTTTTCTGCATTTAACGTTATTATGTATCGGTTTTTGGACAGCCGAAAATGGCTGCTTTTAAAAAAAATAAAAAAAGACAATAGCGGCGACACTATTAGCGGCGACATTGGGCATTAGCGGCGACAAGAGTATTAGCGGCGACACGTAGCATTAGCGGCGACATCATCATTAGTGGCGACAGCGAGCATTAGCGGCGACTTTTTGATCAATAGCGACAAAGCAGTAGCGGCGACTCAATAGCGGCGACGTGTCGCCGGTAAAGCTATTACCCTTTTTTCTTGTAGTGATTATAAACAATCCAAAGAATAAACTACAAATAAAGAAAAAAAGGCAAATTGTGGGAAATACCAATAGCAGTAAAAATTGAAATAAGCACGAAAAAAGAAAAAAGAAAAAATAATACTTCTTATATTCTTATGAGTCGTCACATGTTACCCATGAAGAAAATACAACTGTGAATAAAATATATCAAATAACATATTTTAAAAATCTAGTTTTTACTAAATAGCATATTTTTTGTTTACGACTATTATATGATCATTGATCAGTGCAAAGGTACAATCCAACATGCATGAAGTATAACCCTCATGCATAGCTCATCTGCAATTTTATACAATCAAAGATTTGTTAAAATAAGAGCATAATTTTCTCCAATAACGTAATAATATTTAGTGAAACTACAACTTTTTTATTTTCAAAAGTACCCTCAATTCATTGAATAAGTTGGTTTGCTATTAAATGTCCTTCCTAAAACAATTACATAATAGATATTACTATTATTCTTTACAACTATGAAAATATAGATGTTGCCCAATCCGCAGGTGATGACTATGCTAGCACATACACCCTCTATTCAGAAGAAGGAGATAGCAGTAGACTTTTTAAGCCAAAGCATCTACATTCAGATAATATATATGGATTTTGATAAATATCTGCCACAAAATTTTTGTATACGTAGGCATTTGTTGTAGAGTTTTTCCCCAAAAAAAAAAAATTGTGTTTCAAGTTCACAACTAAGGTGAAAGGAGTAAATACGTTTACTAGAGTTGAACTTATCAAAGCATTTTCTTACCGAATGTGAAACTAATAACCAATACATTTGTGTCTAAAAGTCAAAATTTAACTATACTTATCAATTACCTTCGATAAAGGTGAGATTAGGGTTCAACAATCCGGGTGGGAAATCATCAAGGTCGCCATGGAAAAGTCGATTGACTGAGTAAAGAAGAAGCAAATGATTTGAAGATGAGCGCTTGCGGCTTGAGGTTAACCATGGAAATGTCGTTGTTGGGTCAAAAATATGGTTTATACTTTACTTTTCTAGGAAAATGTATTTTTGTGTCTTGGACCGTAAACAGCTTGGTGTTTACGGTCGTATACGTGTTTACGGTTGTGTTTACGGCCGTAAACAGGTTTACGGCTTTAAACCCATGTACGGCCCATGTTCACCAAAAGCCCATATTCCCTAGTATATATATAGGTGTTAGGGTTGAGGAGTGGATTGATGAACACTAGAGGAGCTTAAGTGTGTGTATTCTAAGGTGTTCTAGAGAGAGAAACTAGAGAGAAGAACAAGTGTGTGTTAGTGTGTGTGAATCTCATATAAAGGATCATCATTCTATTCATTAATACATTGAGATTCATATTATTCTTCTTCTCCTTCTCTTTTATTTGATCTGACATCATCCGTTTGATTGGGATTCCGCACCATCAAACGGATCTGATTGATACACAAGCAGATTAGGGACTTACAATTGGTATCAGAGCAAGGATTGTATCAGTCAATTTTGTCAGATCTGGAGCTTATTTGATCTTATTTTCGAAATATTCTTGCGTTTTTGGATAGATGTCTGAAAAATAAGGGGGGTTTGTTCTTCGGGTTTTTCATAAAAACGGGTTTTTGATCGAGTTTTGGAGCAAAAAGGGGCAAAAATCGGTGTTTTTGGTCGTAACCAGTGAGGGGGGTGGCGGCCAGGGTTTTCGGAGTTTACGGCCCGAGCTTACTGTCCTCGGTTTACGGCCCCGGAGCTTGCGGTCCGAGATTACGATCCGAGTTTGCGGTCTTCGGTTTACGGCCTCGCAAGCAGCAGCCTCGCAAGAAGCAGCCTCGCAAAGCATCTTAATTAAAAAAGGGGGGACGCGATTTTGAGGGTGCCAGGGATCAAACCCG